TTGTTTCATATATGGTTGTGAAATTGTTTCATATAATACTTAATGAAACTGTTTCATGTATTACTCTAACATTAATGAAACTGTTTCATGTATTTCTCTAAAATTAAAATAATGAAGATGATAATATCTATGATTAACACCCTCCATAATAAAAATGATTAATCAACCTCTTATAATTACAAAAAAATGAACAAAATGAAAAATTATGATTGGTTGAATGCGGTTTGCACGGTTTGTACAAATTGAGTTGTTTGCATTTGATCGCTCCCCTATATATATATATATATATATATATATATATAGGGTTGGGTTCACGTGAGACCAAGAGTTTTTCGTGAGACCCGTAAAACCAATTTATGTTCATTAATCAACTTTATAAGTTAATGGTCTAAAGTTTCAAGGTGGCAAATTTGTAATTATTGAGAAGTCTCGTGGCGTTTATGAATGTTCTGATCTGACGATTGTAAATATAATTCAAGGGTTGAGAATTGGTTTTACGGGTTTCACGAAAAACCATTGGTCTCACATGATCCCAAGTCTATATATATATATAACTACAATTTAAAATATAAACTTTACGATAAAAGAATACGTTCACTTGGTCTGAAAGAATATAGCTCGATCAGAAGAATCAACCAACGCTCACTTGTATGAATTTTGGTGCTATAACATCGACCATTATTTCAAATAAAATTTCAACGAGTTTGGTGTTGGGTATTTGGTTTGTCCCACATAGACCCAATCTTAAGATTTCAAGTGTCAAAATGCCTAACTATCTTTGGGTCTCTTGATATCGTTAGCGAGATGGTTTGGTGCCAGAAAGCAGTGTGCGGCCAATACTCGGCTCTGTCCGACGGTTATCGTAAGTTAACCGACAGTTAAAGTGCATACGGCATACTATAAATGCTCCCTCCACTTCTCGTTTTTCACAGACGAAAATACAGAAACTTTCTAGGGTTTTGGCGCATCTGTTCCTATCGATATCATCAGGGAGATAGTCGATTCGACGGGTTCAAGTATCTTTCTTGAATGGATTGTTGTATCCTCTAGATAGACACCCAATTCACAGGACGAATTTATGTCTAAGGACACTGCTTTTGCAGGCCTCAGTCTTACATCTGTTCTTCGTCGGATTCACATCTACACAGTCAAGTTAGTCATTGAATTCCAACTTATTTCTCTGTCATTATGCTTCTGTAATCATACACGTATATATGCTGCTGCTATATATATATATATATATATATATGAATTTCTGGTTCTGTTTTGAATTCAATATCGTTGTGCAAATAAATTTTCATTTCTATATCTAAGTCATAACATTTGGCAAATTAGGTAAATCATGATCATGAAATACAATATATACAAAATATATATATATATATATATATATAGTTTTGGATTTTGTAAGGTGTGTTTGCAATGAAAAATAATTAAAATGACTACTACTTTTTACTTTCATATTCTTGTTTATCTAGGAATAACGTTTATTTATACTACTTTATAAACCAGATTTATCAAAAGTCTTAAAAACAATTTTTAATGCACAAAGTACCATACATTTTTGCACAAAGTCTTAAATACAACTCATAATGCATTAAGTACTACTACTTTATGCATTTAGTCTTAAAATCTCTTAATTTACAATTCTACATAAAAAATAACATATAATACAAGTTATCAATGAACATTATTAATTATCTTTTCATTTCATGTTCCCAATATACTTTTGACACATTTCACTTATGTCTTCACCCTCTCATACCTCTATGTTTTCTCCCTATCCCCGAATGTGAGATTCAAACTAATATCCACCATAAGTTATTAAAAGTTCTCACATTCATCTCTCATTCAATTGCTCTAGAACTCTCAGTCTTCCTCTCGATCTCTTGATTCTTTACTCTTGATGTAAACTGAACACATTTGTGGAGTCGTTTAAATATATTGGATTTTAAATATATTGAATTTTAAACAGTCATACAATTTTTTTTCATCGATAGATAGTAATTGAAACCATAACTCTTATTTATTCAAATTGTATTAGTGTGTAAGGACCAAGTGTAACTTATATAATCGTTAAATCTTCTCTAATAAACCAGTGAAATTTCAAAATCGTTAATATTCACGGCTTACGCCGTATTGCACGGGTACACAACTAGTCAAATTTTATATATGTTTTAATAAACAGTTAAATAACGTATGCTTTTTTTGAACAAAAAAGACCCTTTTTAAAAACACATGTTAGTTTTTGCTGTTAAAACTTTATACGCTGAATGAGATATCAAGTATATGTTTTGATCAAAAACACCAAATACAAAACAAATACGCATCACAACATTGCACATAAATAAACCCAGTAACCGTATCGTTAATTATCAGTATTACATTTAAATACAGAATATTGGAAAACCAAAATAATACAAAAAAAAAACCCAATCATAATTCATAACTATTTTATAGCTCATATTTCAAATGTCCAAATCCAAGTAGTTATGTGTTATTTGTTTGTATGTAAATAAAGAGAGTAGAAGCTACACATGTCCCAATGAACCTTCTAAGTAGATTTAGAAGAGACAATTAATAAAATAAAGATTGATTTGATATTAAATTAAATATGAAATTAAGAAAAGTCAAAGTAGTTAAGTGAGATATGGCCAATTTGAAAGCATTAAAGATATGTGTAGTTGGTTGCTTGTGGGAGGAACTTCTTAACCACCTCATTGCTTAGACACTCCTTTAAGTTTCTTATGTCACTCCCTTCCTTCTACAAATCTTCCTTATTTCATTTATTTTTAATTAAAACCGACGATTTTATTATCAAATAATATCGTTTACTGACCTAATCAGGAGACCGTATATCTGAATCTCTCTAAAGATCTTTCTGACGATTATAATACCAAAATATCAAGTTACTTAGTTTCAGTGGTATAGAGAGTTGGGAGCAGGTTAAAGAACCTGCTCCCAACTCACGACAAATCCATTTAACCTATATAAGATACCCTTTCTAGTTACAACAAATACAACCTCGAACGGTCAGACCCCTTCCCCTTGGAACTTAAATTTCTAGTTTCTGCTCTTGTTAGTTCATTTGGGTTTAGGAAGAAGAGTATGATTGTGAAGAAATAAAAGGTTTATTAATTATGTCACGTTCTTTTTCTACATATGACATTGTATATGGTAAGAGGGAGGATTAAATGAGAAGATGATCAAAATAACAGAACAAGAAAACGACGTTTGATTTTATATGTGGTTACGAAACATGTCAACGCAAGGGTGAGGGGGCAACTTGCCCGCGACCTCAGGTTGATGCCAGAGTCGCGTGAATCAAATGTGATTTTAGTGTAAAATCACATGTGATTCAATCATTTTCTTGTTCTTTTATTGGGTTACTGTTCTCCTATGAACTTAACTCTATATGGTTATATATATATATATATATATATATATATATATATAAAAGAAGTTTTAAATACAAATTATGTAAATGTTATAAATCATAAAAACCTTATATTGAAAATCAATCGAGATATTTATGAAAGACGATCATTCTTTATTCATTATGATCGAGATATTTATAGAATAAGACAACATTCATTTATCATAATCGTTGCTTTAGATTTTGAAATAATCGAGATAATATTATAAAATCAATAATTTATTAAAATAGATAAACAATATAACAAATAAAATATAAAGGAGTTAGTAACAGGAACTCAATGTGTTATGAATCGAAAATCACATGAATATAATCTATAAATATTTCAAAATAGGAATTCATAACGTTAAAACACATAAACCATATAAACCAATCATATAATTTATTCTATATGTGTTAAAAGTATAAAGGTAATAAACAAAATTAATGATTTAGAATATGTTATATACAAAAATATAATTTATGTTTATTTTTATTTTTATTTTTATTTTTTAAGAGGATATAATATGTTTATTAGAGGTGGCGATGTCTTTAAAATTAAGAGTTGGTCAATAATTTGGTTGGACAATTGTCCGGCCGGCTTGTGTCAACAAATTTATATTACTTTTAACAACAATATATATATATATATAGAGAGAGAGGGGGGGTGTGAGTTATTATGCAATTCTTTATATTTGTACAACCAATACAACTTAATCTCAACATTTCATATAATTTGATGAATACGTGATTTCATGAAGGTTTTGATTGTTTTACAATATAAAGTATTGATCATAATTAATGAACTTTAGTTATCTTTCATAAATATTTAAATCATAATAAATGAACTCTCGTCATTTTTATAAATATCTCAATTAATTGGTGGTTATACAAATAGACATGATTGCATTTAAAATATATTATATATATATATAATATATATTTGATGGATCAAGTGGTCACATATTATATATCATTTTCTCCCCTTAAAAAAAATTGAAATATGACTTAAAATGTGTGGTTAGTTGGTGGCATCATCAAGGAAAATGATAGTGCCATGGTGGCTAATCAAGAAAATTAATGATTGCTATTTTTTATAATTAATTTAMAAAAAAAAAAAAAAAACTATAGCTAGTAGAAGTCAAATGAATTAATGCTTCATTAGTAATAAACAATTATAATAATAATAAATTATTAATGAATTCCAACAATGTGAATATATATATATATTTCTAAAGAAAAAAAATCACAAAAATACAAATGGATATTGTAATTAATTCGCGATGCAGGTGGAGTATGAACTAAATTTCAGTATGATATATATCACATATATACACGTAATTATACATCATATGAAAACTAGAAAACGAAAACATATATATATATACATATATATATATATATATTGATGGAGGCATGGAGCTCATGCATGTCCATGCACATGTAGCTCCATATATTATCAATCAAAACCCAATCTATAGCTACATATGACATATATATATATATATATATATATAGTTATATCCATCAATCCATGCAACGTAAGGTTGTGCCGTACAACCTTGAAATATATGGCTTCAATGATGCCTAATGTACATTCATCTCCATTGCACTCCAAGAAAAAGATCGACGACTTCCATAAAGTATATATGCATATGCATGCACTCCATTAAATTCAACACATTTCTCGTAAATTCTGATCCAAGAAAGAGTCCTCAAAAAGATACTCCGGCCAGTTATATGAAGAACCTACCCCATCTCCGCCAGTACTGCCGCCGTAGCTAACGGTGGTGCTTCTCTCTAGTGAACCAGTGCTATTATTGGTTGTAATGGTGTCCATCAATGGCGGAATAGGAGTCCAGGTGACTGATGATGAAGAAGAAGAAGAATTGACACTTGCAAATCTTGATTGGCCATAGTCATTACCCACAATTTCATGATCATAATTGCTTGTTTGCAAATTCATGATTGAGACTTCTTGATCATGGAGTGGTTGAGTAACATGACTAGAATTTTCCACAAATAATTGTGCGATTTCTTCACTTTCTTGACCTACTTCTAGTGGGAATCCATTCATCAAATTAGGGTTTTCTTCTTGAATTTGAGGGATCGAATTCGTTCGGTTTAACAAGGTTGATAACCCTGTGTTGCTTTGGAGTAAAAGGTTGAAGTATTGAAGGTTTTGAGCCAATTGATTGTGTTCAAGGATCTCTTTGATGTTAGCTAGGGCTACTAGTTGAGGCAAGCAAGAAAACAAGTCGGTTCTTGGCCGATGGGTCATCGGATCTATACCCCTCTCGAGTAGCTTTTTTTTCATATGGGTGTTCCAGTAATTCTTGATTTCATTATCTGTACGTCCCGGTAAACGTGTTGCAATTGTTGACCATCTTCAATTAAGAAAAAAAAAAGTTAAAAATGGACATATATAGAAAACGTAAAACGAGAGCTTCTCATTGGCTGACATAAAAAAACCGTTCTGTGTTCACACAAAACGATAAGTCTATATATGAATTTATTACATGAACTCGTTATGCATACAACTTTTTGTAATGGTGTCCCATAGAGTGTTTTGAGCGACATGTACGTTTTCTTTCTATTTTTAAAACGTTTTAGGGTTTAGAAGAATTACTTGTTTCCGAGAACGGAATGAAGGTGAAGAATGACGTTCTCCTCTTCTTGGGAAAACTCTCCTCTCTTTATATCTGGTCGAAGATAATTCGTCCATCTTAATCGACAACTCTTCCCGCATCTTTTAAGACCTAAACATCAATAACGAATATTAATGTTAGTGTGTGTTTGTGTGTGTGTATATATATATATATATATATAGAGAGAGAGAGAGAGAGAGAGAGAGAGAGAACCAGCAAGTTTAGGGAGGGATCTCCAGCTTCCATGGCCATGTTTTTGGATGTAGTTGATAAGTTGTTGATCTTCCTCAGAAGTCCATGCTCCTTTCTTCATCTCTTTACTCTCATCTCTATTCCTATTTGGAAGAGCAGGAGACCTTCCCATTTCTTATAATTTGCTCTTTTTTCTTTTTCTTTACTTGTGTTGGAAACCAATCACTCCTTGGACTATATAATATACCCACACATATACATGTACATATACATACATACATACATATATATATATATATATGTATGTATGTATATATACACACACTCACCTTTGCTTCTAGACTTCTATTTCCTCACTTTTCTATCAAATAACAACTTCCTTCTCAACAGAAAAATAAACAAAATAAGTAATCAACAAGGACGGACCCACATGGATAGATATGGTGGCATGGGCCAGTGCTTCATGGTTCTGTTGTAAGGGGGAAATTTTTACATTTCTGAAGGGTGTCCTAACGTATTGTTTTGTTGGGTGTCATCATATAGTTTTTGAAACTGAAATGTTAACACATGACTTAATAGCTAAGATGGTAAATGCTCCAGCTTTTGTACTACTGGACTGGAACATGGCTCTTTTCTATGCAATGACAAGGAACCAACCAATAGATCTATACTAATATTATTAAAAAAAAAATCATATTCAAATTGTGCCACCACTTGAATGATGTATTATCATTAAAAAAATTCATCATCATTCATTAACTGTCGCAGTTGCAGATGCTTGAAACTTTATTGAGTTTATTGCTTGAAGATAATAACTTGGTGATACAAACTAAGAGTCTGTTTACTTACAGCTTAATGAGATTAATGATCTCGACACTTATTCGTTCAGCCATACAAAAGTGCTTTTACGAATTAAATCGTTAAGCTATTGAGCCAGAAAGGCTATATGAAATTAGCTAGGAACCGTTACTTGTCCCCATTAAACTACCTCAAACAAATTACTAGTAGAAATGCTCCATAAATAATCCGAGTTTCTATTTGCCTCCCTCAAACCCATCAATCTCTCGTCCCTTAGACAACAAAGTTATCCAAACAGAAAACTTAACTCATACAAGACTTAGGGGTTGTTCGGTTGCAGCTTAACGAGTTGTATAGATTGTATGGCTTATTCGTTAAGCCATACAATTGTTGTGTATTAGAGTATGAGGTTAGAATTACTTGGATAATTTTCTAGATCGTATTAAATACTGTATTTCACCCTATTATGTAGTGGGTTTACACGAAATCAGTACCGGGATAATCTAGAAAAATCATACACGAAATAAGGCGCTAATTTCGTATATCTAGTACTTAGATCATGAAATTATGTATTTATAAGAGAGGTCGACAGTTTGAATGGTTAAATGATTGTAACTATCAATGGATAAGGTCAAAAGGTAGTTACAATCGAATCTTAAGTTCTGGAAAATATATATTTAGGGATAGCTGAAGACTTTTAGCGATGGCTGTTCAGCGACAACTAAGGCTCTTCAGCACTCATGTATGTTCGCCTCTTTGCCTCAATCGATCTCAAGTAAATTACAGTTACACCAAATGGTTGATGACACTAAAAATCGCCAACAACAATCCTGCTTGGCTTAATCCGAGTGCTTTTACAGTCAGCCTAAATAGATGTGTCATATACACTCAGTCATAACTATTCCACAAATACCCTTGTTATATGACTAGCCTCATAAAAAACACCTCTCTTCCTTCAAAGGTGCCCTCACTTCCCTAAAACCTGCGATATCTCCTCAAATCTCGTTTCTTCTAACCATCACCGATCTTTCGACGGTTGCCAACTTTTACGATTTCTTTTAAATTTGTTCTTGTTTGATCTATATAATTAATTTGTTGCAAATAAATACTTATACTTACTGTTTAAGGGGTTGTTCTAACAAGGGTAAAATAATCATTTCTGACATTCAGACTGTTTATTCAACACAACAACTTATCAGTTATCATAAAGACAACTTTATCAATACCGACAACTTTATCGATACAGGTCTAATGGGAAATGAACCTAATAGCCCCGTATGGATAAAGTTGTCTATATGATTAACAGATAAGTTGTTTGGTTATTATGCTAAATAAACAGTCTGAATGTCATAAATAACCATTTTAACCCCAGTTTATACTTTGTCTAAATAAAACAACTATTTGATTAAAATGTTAAATAAATGGCTATTAATATAAAAAGATATCAATTTAAACATTTTGATTATCTGAAAGGAAACCTTGTGAAGCTTCTGATTATCTAAAAGAAAACAGGAAACGCTTGAAAGGAAACCTTCTGAATAGCCTAAGCAGAGATCTTTCTTCAAATTCTTGGTCTTTCAGGTTGGTGTTATCCAAATATTCACACCAACAGGAAACACTTCAAATTCTGCAAATTCATACCAAAATCAAACCTATCCCGTCAGAACAAGTAAAATCGAAAAGCTAGAAGAACAAACCATAGAGAGAGAGACTGAAAACCATGGAGAGAAACCGTAAGCTAGAAGAACAAGCCATGGAGAGAAATTGAAAACCACATGGAGAAATCGAAAACCATACAAAATAATCCCGTAGTGGAGAAGCAGAGGCTTGAAGAAGATGAGAGGCTCATTTCTTTGAAGGAAGTCGTTTGAAGCAGTAATCGATACTTGGAACCGGAAGCGTGAATGGAAGCTTGGAACATCAAAGTTTGAACCGGAGGGGGAGGGTACTTTATTGCAATGGTAGTTGGGGAAATTTAGGGGAAATTAAATGGCTTAGTCGTGTAAAAGAAGATGTTTTCTAGCTGACCTATAAGTCATCAACTAAGCGAATAAGCCACAACCAAACAACTAGTTATGGTTGAGCGAATATGGCTATACAGCCCATTAAGACACAACCGAACCAAACAACCCCCTATTCAAAAAAAAGTAAATGAACTCATTAAAAGTCAATAGTATTACTTATAATGCACAATGAACAAGTGGATAATGCAAGGATGAGGTATGCATCATTTTTGGAAATGCACACAAAGTAATCTCTTAGATTCCTACTCACAAAACCTGTAGTTGCTTTGATGTTTCCATCCTCAGAATTTGAAGCAAATATATACCATTTGTCTAAAAAAAAAATGATCTTAAAGCAATCAAGAATTACAATTGGGAACATGGGTGTGAATAATGTAGTAACATCTTAGCTTCTATGAATTACAGTGTATTAATTCATTGATGAATTGTTATATAAATGTAACAACTTACAACTCCACCTTCAGGACGATCTTCATGAACTCGTAAACAAAGTAGCTTATTGCAGCCGAAGGTAATACCTGCGAATTTACAGGAGTCAACTTCAATCACACATTTGCACAAAATTTGGTCAACTTAACCAACAATACGGTATCAGGATCACAGAACGTTGATAGAATGTGTGATGGGTCAAATGATACAAACAGTAATGCATGGATGTGAGAATTGGACAATATGACTTCAAAAGGAGAGTCGGGCTAGAAAAAATTTCAAGTGGTGCCACCATTTGACGATAAGGGTATAAACTATAGAATTCTTTAACAAAATCACAATAGATCTATTCGTTAGTTGCTTATATTTGCAAGAACGGGCCATAGGTTCGACCCCTACCATACTTACTTCCCACCAATTTAAAGAAAAAGCTATATAAACCCAAAATTAAGAGCTAAAAAAGGGGAAATTTGCTAAAGGTGGGATTTGAATCCACGGCATTTTGAATAAGAAACATTAATCCCACGATTTAGACAAACTCGGTCATCACAAACTTATGTCATAAGTTTAGTTTTAAGAAAGACTAGTTGTGTACCCGCGCAATACGGCGGGAGCAGTGAATTTTAACGATTTTGAAATTTCATTGGTTTTATTAGAGAAGATTTAACGATGATATAAGTTACACTGGTCTTTACATACTGATACAATTTGAATAAATAAGATTTATGGTTCCAATTACAGTCTATTGATGAAAAAAAATTGTATGACAGTTTAAAATCCAATATATTTAAACGTCTACATAAATGTATTCGATTTACACCAACAACAAAGAATCAAGAGATCGAGAGCGAGATCGAGAGTTCTAGAGCAACTGAATGGGAGATGAATGTGAGAACTTTTAATAACTCATGGTAAATATCAGTTTGAATCTCACCTTGGGGGATGGGGAGAAGACATAGAGGTATGAGGGGGTGAAGGCATGAGTGAAAGTTGTCAAAAGTATCTTGGGAACATGAAAAGAAAAGGTAATAATGTGCATTGGTAACTTATACTATATGTTATTTTAATTGTAGATTAAGAGATTTTAAGACTGAATACATAAAGTAGTAGTACTTAATGCATTATGAGTTGTTTTTATGACTTTGTGCATTAAAATTGTTTTTAAGATTTTTGATAAATCTTGTTTATAAGGTAGTATAGATAGGGGCACACAATGAAACATTACAATGGTACCCTTCAGCAACGTTATTTTTTCCCACTACGACAGAGCCATGAAGCAGTGGCACAGGCCACTGTATTCCCCCACATAGGTCCGTATCCCCTGCTCAAAAGTGAAAGCTGAAATCTATGCAGGCACGGAGCAGCTAGAGAGGTTTCTAAAATGGCCCATTTGTCGATTAAGATGTATAATCGTTGTTGAAAACATTTCACGCCACCACCCACCCTCTGTGCTCCACCCTCTTCGCCAGCACCTCAACATATGGTCCAACGGTTAAAAGATGCGCACCCCATGCGCTTGTATTTTCTAATGATGCCGTGAGTGTGAGGTCGAAGATGACATAACATATCGCATAAAGACGGGTGGGCTAAAGTGTAGAGGTGTCACTAGGGGGTTGTGTGACAAAAAGATTCACTAAAAACTGAAGGGTAAATTTTACCAAAAAAATCATGTTAAATCGCTAATAAAAGGCATCAAGATAGCAAGAACATACCTGTAGTAAACTAGGAATGAGTCCTGCATAAAGAGCCGAAACACCTCCATTCTCGACAATTCTTAAGCACGTTGCTAATGCACTCAATTTATTTGCCCGCACCTGCAATTGTAGCTGTCTTCTCACGACTTCAAACGGGTAAGTAGCAACCTCTGCACAAGCACCAGCAATGGCTCCGTGTAGTAACGTCCTCAATGGTCCCAACTCTAACTGTTCCAAAATGTTCAAATCGTTGCCCTGCTGTTTCATGTACTTAATTCTTTGCTTTCCTTCAGCTGAATTGAGATACGCTGATTTCAATATATCATAAACTCCATAGAAGACTGCACTTGAAGGCGCCATGCTTAAAATCGAAGGAACCAATCCTTTATAAAGAGATAAGATCCCTTCGGTCTGAATGATGTGGCGAAAAGCTCCTATTACACCACCCAAGGCCTCACCACCAGGCGCCACCAGCTTTGTTCGTATCTGAAAGGTTAACGCAACCACGTAAGCAATTTATCTACATCAAACTCTGGGTTCTTGTTTGACCACAATGGTCAAACATATCGGGTATCTCTAATTTGCAGCAGAAACGTAAATAAATTTACGGGAAGATTTGATATAACTTACAGTGTCGAGTGGTAAGCAAAGAATACTAGCAGTCATGCCAGCTCCAGCACCAGCAAAGAGCCTTTCGAAATTTGTGGTTTCTTCATTTCCGGTTAACCTGAGAAGCTGCCTTCTGTACGAATCGTAGGCACAAAAATTCAGGGCCTTAAATGGAGCGGTGCGAAGAATGTTAACAAAGTTGCCCTTCCAGAAGCCTTTCAAACCTTGAGAAGAAGCTATTGCTTTAACTAGCTCAAAAAGACTCTTCTGTTCACCACGAACCATATATTCCAGCTTTAGTCTCTCCAACGGCGCAACAAAAGTTCTGTTAAAAGAACACTCATTTATACACATACAAATGGATAGAGACCACATAAGAACTGGCACAAATCATACCATTTAGAATAATTTCCCCGATAATCAAAAGGTAATTTTCTTGTGAATGTTAACTCCTTAGGTTGCATTTCATAGGACTCGTCAGGACATGGCAGAGCAAAACTCATTGTTCCACGTTTAGCGCGACACAGGACAGGGACTAAACAACTAAAAAATTACCAATCTACCCTCATTTGATATAACCCTAATATGGTATTTAGTTTAACGGTCACCATCATCCATTGCCAACACCAACACCAACACCATCGGCTACCACTACCACCCCCATATCCACCATTTCCATGTTCTCCACAACCACCACCTCCACCACAATCAATGTCAACTATCGGCTACCATCACCCATTGCCGTCACCATCGACCATTGTACAGCCCTATCCAGGCCTAGTCATGCCAAACACCAGAGAGACATCGTTCTCTTGTTCTGTCCTGTTGTCCAATTCAGTCCGGTCTATGTACCAAATGCTACCTCATTTTGTTGACTAGTACCTTCAACATAATAAATGTTTGTGTACCTATTCTCACTAGTCACCTTGACCCTTTGTATTCAAAACTTGAAGTGTTCAAGTATCATACTTCTTAGTATGATTTGATCCAAAAGTTTGCATTACCACATTACAAAAGATCAATCCATCTGCTCTAAAAACGAAAATAGATATACAAATTGTCTTAAAGAGCCAAGCATATTGATTTCAAACTATGGATTAATGGATCAGACATCAATGTTTTTCTATTATTAGTAATCCATGGAATGCTTCATCTAGTCCATAAATTTAACCAAAATTCAAAGAATTTTTATCAAATTAAACATTGACTATCACTTCTTTTCAACCATATCCCTTATTTTTCTGTCATATAACCATGGCAAAAGGATGTGAAGAAGAAGAAGAGAAAGAACAGAAACCTTGAAACCATGGCAGCAACAGCTCCAGCCCATAAATGCTTTGTAGTGTTCATAGCAGCAGGTTTTCCTCTTAATCTTATATGGATCTTCTTCTTGTTCTTCTCCTCAACCACACTACCGCCACCAACCACCGCCGCGGCCATAAACTGGGTGGTGGGATTTCTATCAATACCATCACTACTTCCCTTAACTGACAAACTGACTGACAAGAACCCACCACCCGAAACCCCATTTTTTTGCCGGAAAACACCGCCGCCCGGAGTTCGGTGGGTAGAGCAGTGATGGGTATTGTTGTTCGGAGAAACGACGTTGATTAAATAATGAGGAAGAGTATTGTTGTCAAGAAATAATCCCCCACCTATAACAGCTGAATTCCCATTTGAAATTGAACATCCAGAGGTGGAAGTAGGAGCTTCAAGTGGGATTGAGCCACTCATTCTTCTTGACATATCTTTTGGGGATTAGGGTTCGGAATTTCAAATTAACACCTTGAATGCCAGATAAATGAATACAGGAATGGGGATGAACATAGAAGAAATTGAAATTGGTGTGGACAGTGACATGAAGAAAATGGCGGAATCAGTGCTTTGCTCCAATCGTCGCAGACTAGGATGAATTGGGTTTCCGAAAGACTCTCAGCCACAAGCTCTGCCCGTTTCGGTTTGTTTATTTGGTTAATCCTCCAAATACTCCATTTTCGATATTTGCAAGGATAATTAGGAGAGAGAAACTTTCTTGATGAGATAAAGAGTAAATTACAAATTTCGTCCCTGAGGTTATCTGAAAATTTGGATTGGGTCCTTTTAAAGAAATAATTACATTTCTTGTCACTGTGGTTTCATTTTTATTACGTATTAGGTCCCATGACTTAACTCTGTTAATTCTTTTGTTGTTAAAACCCGCATATGTCCCTCAAACGAGAGGCATTTTAGTCATCTTAATCCTTGTTTTAATCATTTAACCGTTTCTTTATTGATTTATTATTGTACATATTTTAATACATTTTGTACAACAATTAATAATAAGAACAAGCAACGGCTCAAACCCACAACAAGTTGTTGTATAATGGGATCTTAAACACATGCATGTATACCTTCTTTATTTTTTTTTCTTAGGTTTTGAAATGAGATCTTTCCTCTGTGTAAAAGGGGATCTTATTTGGGTTTTGAAATGGGAACCCTCTTTCAGTGGCGGATCCAAGATTTTGGTCTAGTGGGGGCACCTTTAAGGTAGCTTAAACACCCATAAAGTCGTCCGATGTGTTTTTAGCCTAATTCCATCATTCCAAGAGATTTTTGAAGTTTTTTGGATTATTTCGAGGGATTTTTTAAGGGTTTTTTTATCGATTTCAAGAAACTTTTCAGTTTTTTGGTTGATTTCGAGATACTTTCTTTAGTTGGTGGGGGACCCTAACAAGAAATTACTGAGGATAACCATGGTAGAAAGTAAAAAAAAAATAACTTTTAACCTTAGGAAAATTCATTTTCTTTATTTTTTTAATGGGGGCCCTTCCCCCCACCTTTTACATGGTAAGTCCTCCCCTGCCCTCTTTGTAATGTGATCTTTTCTCTATGTAATGTGTTTTATCGGCTCCACATAAGTCTTTCAGTTTCAAGTTTTTGATACAGATTTAGGGTTATTTTTTGGGTAAAGATTTTTTTAAATTCTTGATTTCCCAAATTTGTCGATGGAATGTTGTTGTTTTTCAAACAAATTTTGGGGTTTCTTTCTGATTTTCTATTGTTGAATCCAAGATTGAATTTGGTTGTTTTCAATCTTTTCGGTGTTTTTGCTGCTTGGTTCCATATGTTACGGTTGCTTTTCTTCTACATTAGCAACTTTTGTTGAATCTGAGTTGCAAGATTTTTATCGATTTCATTCTACATACATGCAAAAAATGAAAAAGATTCTTCAGAGACTTGAGCTAAATGAACCTAAAAATAGTAGACTTCCCACTGTTAGCAAAACACAAAGAAGGAATGAGAATGGAGTGGAGGACGAGGGAGACGATGAAGATGAAAGAGCCGGAGGGAGCAGCTTCAATGTAGAAGACGAAGGTCGTCAGAGAAGAGGACCAAACATCGATCGAGATCATTCTTAAGTGAAAATATTAATATACTTTATATCAATACCTGATAATTAATTTTATTTTTTATTTTTTAGAAGAAATTAGTAAAAGGACAAAAATGCCCTTGATCATGTTAACGAAGTTAGGTCTAGGAACCCAATCATAATAAAAATGAAACCATAGTGGTCATAGTTGTAATTAGTTTGTTCGAGGGATCCATTCCAAATTTTCATAAAACCACAGGGACCAAATTTGCAATATACTCTAAGATAAAAGAAATAATAATATCAAAATTACTTTAAGCAAGAGAATATTTTAGGAATATGCTTGTACCAATTACCAAAAGCTTTATTTACTTCAATCTTTGGTTTCACAAGTTTTGTGTTTTTATGCAAAATTTGACACTTTTTCATTTTAAATAATTAATTCTTTATGTTTTTCTTTAAATAAATAAATTATTAATGAATTCTTTATGTTTTTCTTTAAATAAATAAATTATTAATGAATTCTTTATGTTTTTCTTTAAATAAATATTTTTTTCAATTTTAAATGATTAAGTTGTTAAATTTTTTTAACAAAAAATGAATATCTATAGGTTATATTATTGTGATTTGCATGTTGTAACATGTTAGGGTCCCTGAATTAACTCTATGAAAGCATTTATGTTAACTCAAGACTATTTTTGTCCCTCTCATCTTTTTCATTAGGTGTGCTCAAATACCCGATCAACCTAATCCAACGTGAAATAACCTAACCCAAAGCAACTCGATGTCTAATCGAGTTGTAAAATTGGCAAACCGTAGGTATTGGGTTACTATTATTTGAACCCAACCCAACCCGATGAACCCGATATCCTTTTATTTCTTGGATTTAATATAATTGTTGAATTTCTATTAATATATACATTAAACAATTACACTATCATGTATGTTTTTCATATACACATATTTTCAATCTATTCATATCTCTATATAACTCATTCACTAACTGTGAACATATATATGTAAATTGAGAAAATTAACTGAATGTGATATAAGTAAGAAATATGAATAAGTTGTATCAAATGGTTGATGATGAAAAAGAAATTATGAGTAGAGAAATAACATATTCAAGGTTGAGAAAATATTTTAATATACCAAAGTATCAACCCGACCAACCCGTACGGGTTGGGTTGCACTTTGGTTTGGGTTGGTTAAAATTTTTCCAAACCGCAAGCATTGAGTTGGGTTTTTCAAATTTCCTCAATCCGATCAACCCAAGACATGAGCATCCTTACTTCCTATGGTCTCACTACCCCTCCCTTCTTCTCAGGTGAGTTATACCAAAGTACTCAATATTCTATAATCACTGATAATGATCGTTTTTGTACTGCAGATAGAAATATCAGTGAACAGAAGATCTACTTTAAGTTATTTTTTATTGCTCATTACAGATCAATTTGGGATATGTAATAGTTCAAGCCTAATGTTGTGGCTTAATTTATGTTGTAAGTTTAGTCTCCATAATAATAGACTATGTATCAACTAAGAACTTTTGGGGTCACTAATGAGTGGAAAGCACCCTAAGTTGTATACCCAAATAGCAACCAAAGATGTGTGCATTATATGATCAGAGAGCAATATTTCAAGATTATTAAATGCGATGGTATTCACATGATACGAAGGCGAACTCGTGGAAATTTTCCGTTACCAAAGAAAAAAGACATTACATAACTTTATTGCAACAACTATAAACATGTTATGGACCCCTCGCCTACTTCGGCCTCTCTGACTTTGGTGGATGATAGAATAAAAAGAAGCAACAACACGTAATAAGATGGTTAATGTCATTTAATATGATGGTATGTGCCCATACTTGTTCATCATTCTTTATGATTTCATGTATGCATGCGCATATATATGCCTGGGTGTATGTGCATGTGAAAGAGTAATTTCATTTAAGAATCGTAAATATTTTGAGAACCATGGAAACCAACCATTCATGATAAATATCATGAATGGTCTGTTCTCATGATTTTCAAAATATTTCTGATTAACATATGAAAACATCTCTCTCTCTCTCTCTCTCTATATATATATATATATATATATATAGAGAGAGAGAGAGAGAGAGAGAGAAAGGAGCGATCAAATGCAAATCATCCAATTTGTATAAACCGTGCAAACCACTCTCATCCGTCGATTTCATTGTTTAATCTTATGAAATTTTTACATGAAATTGTTTAATCTTGTGAAATTGTTTCATATAATACCTTTTTTTTTATAAAGTTGTTTCATATATGGTTATAAATTGTTTCGTATAATACTTAATGAAATTTTAATGAAACTGTTTCATGTATTTTCTAAAATTAAAATAATGAAGATGATAATATCCATGATTGACACACACATATGTATATTAACGGCATTTTACTTGTTTTCTTAAATAATCAGCGTTTTCGTTTGAATCTTCCTCTATGTATATATGTATGTATGCATCTTCAAATACAACCTTAAAGGGTACGACCGTTACAACCCAATCTTGGCCCTCCATTCTCTTGATCAACGGTTGAGAAATTTATGGTTTTTTATTGATTTAAAAAATTAGGTGGAGTATATTTTAATTATGTTTAATTTATATTTAAATTTAAATGTTAAAATTAGAATCCATGATTATTTTTCCATATTTAGAAACCATAACTCCCACCCCCCCCCCCCCCCCTTCTCTCTCTGTAGGTAGAAGAAAAAGTGATGGATTTTCAAAAATTTATCACCGGTAAACCAACAACCACGACCCTGGACTTCATCGTTGGTAAACCGTAAACCCACAACCAGCTCCATCGTCGATAAACCCACGACCAACTCCATAGCCGGTAAACCAACATCTCCTCCATCAATTGCACTTCCCAACCACCTGCACCTCCATCCTTGAGTTCTTTAGGTTTCCAAACTTGTGCCGGAGGTCGTCCCTAAACCATATCAAAAGCTTTCATCCCTGAGAACGTGACTTCATTCCAGAACTAGATCCCAAACCATCGCGCAAGTTTTCGAACCCTATTCATCTTATCCAACCCAAGGTTTCACTCGATTTGGTGTTTAGGGTTTCAAGATGAAAATCGGACCAAATCCATTCTACTTTAACACCTTGTATCTTCTTCTGCTTCGACCCTTTTCCAGAGGGTTTCATATATGAAAAACGATGAATTTTTTTAAATGGTTATGAATAGCTACAAATTGTTCGTGTATTACAGTACTGGATGGTTCATTTATTATCTAGTTCGACATAGGATGAACTAATCCGTTCATATGCTTCTTTAGTTGTAAGTCATTCGCTATAATGAATTATTAGATGTATTAAATGAAATTCTAAAGTTTGTTATTTAGCATTGTTTTAAATAGTATTTTTAAATATTAATTTCCATATTAAACACACAAAAATGATCAAGCAAGACCCTATAGAACTTAGAACCACTTGGGTTGTATCGTACCTATTCGAATTCAGACGTTGTCAAAACCCTTATAGCCATAGAGGTTCACCTACGATAACTCAAGACCATTTATAGTCACTCGAAAATTAATTAGTACGCGAAAGTTGGTCTGAAACCAAC